GCACATGTGCTTCAGTAGTTGTGACATATTGGTTCTAGAGCACAGCTCCAAAAGTTGTGGCACATGGGCTTAGTAGCTCCATGGCATGTGGGACCTTCCTGGATCAGGAATGGAATCCGTGTCTCCTGCACTGGCAAGTGAATTCTTTAACACTAAGCCACCAGGGAAGCTCTAGGACTAAGATTTTTTAAGTTTGTTTTCCTCTAATAAATTTAAAAACATATATAGTAAAGAGATTGATCCCATATTTTACCCAGATCATAGCTCTAGAATCTACAGAGCCAAATATTAATATTTGGTATCCATGGTGACTGAATAGTAGAGGACCCTGGAGAATCAGGATGTCTGGATTCAAATTCCAACTCTAGCACTTTCTACCAGTCATGAGAGCTTCAGAAAGCTGCTCAAATTCTGGGTCTCAGTCCTCATGTATAAAACTAACTTCATAATATCACCTTCCTCATGGAGTTGTGAAAATTAAATGAGTTAACACATGTGGATCTCTTGGAATAGACCTTGGCACCTAGTGGGCACTCAGTAAGTGCGAGCATTTACTGGTGATTGTTACTGGTTGTTGTTTGTTGTTGTCTAGTTGTTACTTGATTGATGAATCCTAGGGGCAGGTGCATCCCCACAGCAGGTGGAACCATTCTCAGCCACAATACTGCGTGAGTCATAATAAAATCATGCTGCCAACTTCCTGAACTATTGAATTACCTGAGCTTCTACATACAATCCCTTTTTTTTTTTAAAGCTACCCTTTCTTTTTGAAGTTCGAAGATTACAGAGGCTCTTTCCTCAACTCCACCTTTCCTTTTCAAGGACATTAAATCCCAAAGAAAGCGATTTGGAAATGATTTCTTTTATTGCCACCCTTGTGTAGCTCCTCTTCCCCCATTCATCCTTCCGTCTCATTTGTACCTAAAGAAAAATGATACTTCATTCATTATATTGTCATACGGTGCAACTTATAACTGTTTTGTATAAGTGTACGTGTCTTTCATATCAAAGACTTAACGTGTACTATCCCTTCCCTTGATTTCCTTGGGTGGTACAGTGGTAAAGACTCCCCCTACCAATGCAGGAGACTCAAATTCGATCCCTATGTTGGGAAGATCCCCTGGAGGAGGGCATGGCAGCCCACTCCAGTATTCTTGCCTGGAGAATTCTGTGGACAAAGGAGTCTGGCGAGCTACAATGCACAGGGTCACAAAGAATCGGACACAACTGAGCGGCTGAACAACATGGGAAACTGACATTCCATCTCCAGAGATGTGCCTAGCATCCTCACCTCACGGAACTCTGCCTCCCTGCTCACCCTGCTCCTTGCTCTGTTTTGTCTTTGATTAGTCATTCAGTAAAAGTTATTGAACACCTACTCTCTGCCAGCCATGTCTTGGAAATGCAAGATGAATAAGACATAGCCTTTTCATTTACTCAGCAAATATTTGTGTACCCAGGCTCTGAGTTAGATGTGGTAGAGATGGAAAAGGCTCTCAACAGGCTTTTAAACTTCTGAGAAGACAGTCAACATAAATTTTTTTAAAGTATGATTTGTTGTAATAAATGTACAGGAGTACAGAAGAGAGACCATCTAACCCAGCTTAATGAAGTCAGGAAAACTTGAGAGAGAGGAAAAAATGAAGCTTGGATGAATATGAGTTTGCCAGACAGACAGGATAAAGAGAGAGATTCAAGAGATTTGGAGCAATGTGGCCCTTGAAATCTGGCTAGTGTATATGAGAAACAGAATTTAAAACTGCATTTCATTTTAGGTATGTGTGTTCAGTCATGTCTGATTCTTTGCTACCCCATAGACTGCAGCCTGCCAGACTCTTCTGTCTGTGGGGTTTCCCAGTCAAGAATACTGGAGTGGGTTGCCATTTCTTTCTCCAAAGATTCTTCATGACCCAGCAATCTAACCCACATCTCCTGTGTCTCCTGCATTGGCAGGCAGATCCTTTACCACTGAGCCACCTGGGAAGCCCCATTTCATTTTTGTTCCTTTTAATTAAACTGGAAATAGCCACATGTGGCTCTTGGCTACCATGCTGGACATAGTGGATTGCACCAGACTATACCCCTGAAAAGGAAGGAGACTGTCTTCTCTTTACGCTTTTTCCACTTCTTACTGACTGGAAAGCAGATTCTGTGGCAAGTTACCTTGGACTAGCAGATGGGACATCACCCCAGGGATGGAAGTAAGACAGTGGAAAGGACCATCTTTCAGTTTAGCTTAAGCTCACATTGTCATGTGGAAGAGACATCAATTTCTATATTGCTTAAGCTATTGTTATTTCGGATCTTTATGCAGCAGATAAATTTGTATCCTAACACAATGTATCTTATGGTAATGAAAAGCAACAGTCATAATCTTGCTAAGGTTTTTTTTGAGATTTTCCTGTGTACGAGCCCCTGTGCTAACTGTTCTAGGTGCTTGCATCCCATTTAATCTCCGCACATATCGATAAGGGAGATAATTGTTAATTCCCATTCTGCAGATAAAATGAAGCCTTACCAAAGTGGCTCATTAGTGCTAGGATTAGATCTAAAAGCTAATCATATTCTAGGGAACAGATAAATAATATATTTTCTTTTTTAAGGTTCAAGTCAGCTTTTATCAGCTTGATCTTTATTCCCTCTTTCTTTAACACTTTTGATTTGTTTGTTTGTCTGAGCCAGGTCACAGCACACAGGATCTTCAAACTTCCTTGAGGCATGTGGGATCTAGTATCCCGACCAGGGATTGAACCTGGGCCCCTGCATTGCAAGTGCTGAGTTTGAGCCACTGGCCCACCAGGACAGTTCCATACATAATATCTTATCATTAAAGATCAGGAAAATTGAGTGTAAATCAGAGTTTTGAAATGCAGAGATGACATTTATGTCCGTGGCAGACATTCTCAGCCGTCTACCCGGCACCTGTTACCTCCCTCTTCCTGAAAACAGAACCTCAATTTGTTCAACTAGTGGGTGGAGATACTTTGACATCAGGAAAAGGAAGGAGACTGTCTTCTCTTTACTCTTTTTCCACTTCTTACTGACTGGAAAGCAGATTCTGTGGCAAGTCACCTTGGACCAGCAGATGGGACTGCAGAACCCAGGAGAGAAATTCTGATTGGTCTAAACTAGTAATAGTAGTTTCATTCCCCTTGGCCAGTAATTGGTCTAAGGACAGGAAAGTGGCACAGTTCTGATCAATGAGATGTAACCACAAGTTTGATAGGGAGGGTGACCCTTTCCAAACCAAAAGCCACAAGTCTGCCCAGAATGGAGATGCAATGCTGGAAGTGTGGCATCCATTTTGCAACTTTAATGATAAAAGCCAACACTGAGGAAGGCAGAGTGGAGAGCTAAGTGAAGTTCTTGATGACATTATTGAGCTTCTCCCTGTCTGGACAACCTAACTCCAGACTTACTATAAGATGAAAAAAGCTAATCACAATTTACTTAGGTCACTATCAATCTGGTTTCTGCTTACTTATAGCTGTAAGCCTTCATGATACACATATATGTACACCTATCTTTTGTTTTCTTAGGAAAGAAAAGGAAAAGTCACACAGCTTACTGTGCTATTTTGCACACTCCCGGCTGACTGCCGGAAGCTAATTCCACTGGCTCACCCACAGTAAGAATTGTTTTGTTGCTGTTGTTTAGTTGATCAGTTGTGTCTCACTCTTTTGTGACCCCATGGACTGCAGCCCGCCAGGCTCCTCTGTCCATGGCATTTCCCAGGCAAGAATACTAGAGTGGGTTGCCATTTCCTTCTCCTTTTCCTGACCTAGGGATCGAACCCACGGCTCCAGATTCTTTACCGCTGAGGAACTAGGGAAGCAAAAATCATTTTAGTCTCTCTCAAAACACCTATTTTGGTGAGATAGGAAAACAAACCTTAATAGGTATCAGAGATCAGGCAAAATGAGTATTTGTCTCTTTCCCACCCTTTAACTAAAAAGAAATTTCCCCTCAACTGGAAATATTTCTTCAGTAATGCTTTGATATGTAAAGCACTTATATTCTGCTGTTTTAGACTGTTAATACTCTGAAATTGTAAAATAAGTTTCTGTTATCTTTCTTTTTTCATTTATGTTTTAACTGAAGGAAATGTTTGGCAGAAACCAACAATATTCTGTAAAGCATCCTCTGTAATCCTTCTTAATCTCTGTAGTTGTAGAGAAAAGTAGAAGCACTATACCTAATGTATTAAAAGGATTCATTCAATGAGTATACCTTGCCACACCAAACATAAATGAAGAATTGAGGCATGTTACAGGATGACTAAAATTTAAAAATGGGCTTAAATCATAAATAAATAGAAGAGGCAGAAATGCTGTTTTGCCCTTGACTTGCTATACTGGAAGCTGATTTATTCTATAATTCTAAGTGTGCAAGAAAAATAAATAATTTTTATGCAATCAACTATCCAGAATTTCAAACAAATTCTAAAATCTTTTGGAATGCTAGATATAACACTTTTAGTTGAAAGGAGAAAGAGCAGGTATATCTCTAGCCATATGTTAAATTTGTTGTTGTCCAGTTGCTCAGCTGTATGCGACTCTGTGACGCTATGGACTGCAGCATGCCAGGCTTCCCTGTCCTTCCCTATCTCCTGGAGTTTGCTGTGTTACGTGTTAAATAAAGATGCACATATATAAATACATACCATGCCACCACCTTAACCAGGGGGTTAATCTTTAATTTGATTCACAACAGAAAAGATCATGTGGCAGCTGGTTTTACACTATTTCATTCACAAAAAGAGATTATCCATTAGACAAGCACATTTTCCCCTGGAATTTCACAGAATAAAGGCGCCAGACACATTTTTCTTTCAAACACCAAGCTATGCAAAATATTTCCAGATATAATCAGAAGGGTATGAAACAGCAAATTAAGCAACTGACAGACAATCTTCAGCATTATCTGTGTTTTTGAGAGATCTGACAAAAGTTGGAAAAGCAGTTTGATTAAAGAAAAAAATATTGGAAAAAGCAACATACCTTAGAGATGATTAATGGTTCTCCGTGCTCCAAACCACCTTTCAAAGTAAAACCCCAGGGAGCTCCTCCCTGCAGGAACGCTTCCAGATAAATGTACCGGCCCCTGGAGGTCCTGTTAGGGGTTAGTGTGGCTCTGGTCTCGTCGAAGTTCTCCGTAGTCCTCATCATGGCAAACACATGATGCTTCGAGTTAAATTTTAAACGCCTGAAGCAGTTTCAGGAGAATGGTGTTTAGCATTATGCCATCCTTCGCAATCCACACTGGCCAAAAAAGATGTTTTCAGAAACTAATTCTCTCAGATGTAAAAGGTTCTTGTGAGCTTAACTCCAAGATGCTGAGCCAGGAGGATTTTTCACTTCAACGTTTCTGAATGCAACTCTTCTCCTGGAATTCCCGGTTCTCACTAAAGCCCCAGAGGGGTGTATATCTCTCCACTCCGTTAAAAAAAAAAGAAACAAACTTCTTTCACTGTCACTCTCCAGACTGCCTCTATTTCACACACACCCACACCAAAATTTTTCCAGCAGATTATACAGAAAAACTTAGTCGTCTTACAATATAGTAAGAAAATTGCAAAAAGTCAAATGCATACCTCAATTTTGATTGATTATCAACCCTTTCTTCCTCTCTGAGTGAAATTTACCATTACAATAGCCTCCCATCTTCCCAGAAGTAGCTTTAAAAAAGAAAGAAAGCACTCACTATGCTTCAGCTAGCTTCAGAAGTTTCTAACTTGTTCCAAACAAGCTGAGCTGAAATTTATTTGTCTGTTTTTCAGCAATAAGTTCAATCTGTTTCTTGGGGAAAAAAAAAACAAAACAGCTTTTCCAGGATGTAGAGAAAAATGGGAAAAAGCACGGTGAATTAACCTTCCCTGGAAAAAATATCCAGGAGGCAGCTCGGTCCTTTCTTTGATATTTTCAGTGATGAGCAGCCACTACTGCCGCCAAGGCTGTACTTGCCTTTTCTAAGAGAAAAGAGTAAGGAAGTGAGAGGAAAATGGGTTAAGGCAAACAGAGCGACCGCAACCTTTCTGCACTGTAAAGCGCTGCTATGCGGAATTCAGCTCCCACAAAGACCCAACCAATCGCAACAGTCTTTCACTTGATACACCATAGACAGTTAAAAGTACATACTCATTTCTAATTAGCAAGTAGTAAAATAGTTGATGGGCTAACCCCACCTTGTTAAAGGTGAATTAAAGCAGAATCCCTGGGAGTGAGACACAGGCATTGACATTTTTTAAAAAAAACCTCTGGGCAATTCTGCCCTGCGGCCAAGTTTGCAAAGCTTTTCGGTAAACATTTAAGTCTGTGTCAAGGTGGTAGCACAAGGACTTTATTTTGCTCATTTAGAAGAAAACGGCCAAGTAAAATTTATAACTGGCCTCTCATCTTGAAATAGGACTCTCCAATCAAATTTCTCCTTGTTTGATTCAGTACAAACAGGTCACAGACTTTCTTCTATATTGTCATTGTTATCTACTCCAAGGCTCTTTGTTATCCACTCTTTAAATGAAAAGAAATACTTAGTGTGTGGCAAGTAATAAGCACTCAAGGTGGAACGTTGTTCGGATTTCAGGTTAGCAATGGAATTTTGTAATAATGTTATATAAAATTTGACATCAAAACTTTCTATTAGAAACTTAAATAGTGCAAGATAACTGTATCTTTTAGCCAGAAGCCCCAGCTATTAAGCTGGAACAACTTAGAATTATTTCTAAGGGATATTTTGCTAAAAATTTTTTTTGTTTAAAAGTATGTGATGTGAATTCTGTTGGACGCTGACGTTTTGATATCAATTTAATTTTGGTGTTTGTACCTATCGTTAATGAAAAGTTAATATAATAAAGAAGCAGATATAATATGCAAAGAAGTCTCTATGATGTTTAATGTACAACAACACATGACAAGTGTTATTTGCTTTTCAGTAGTAACTTCATCTATAGAGCTCAAAGACAAAATACAGTAAAATCTCATTTTAACATAATGATAGTATTTTAGTGAAAACAAAAAGTGTACAAAATGAAAGTAAATGGTAAACATTGTTTGATTCTTAAGAGTAATTTATGCAATTTTTATTGGGGCTTCCTTTTACAACTTGATTTATAAATAAAGAATAGAAGGTGAAATCTAGGCTTTTCTTTCACTCCATTATTAAAACATGTATGTATACAGAGAGGATATTTAAATAAAAACCAAGGTAAATGAAGTTTCTTTCTGAAAAGTACTTTTTTGTGTGTGGCATTTACAATCTTGCTCCTGATTCATTTTGTAAAACATGGGATTTCATAGAATCAACATTTAATATTAAAAGTTTATTACTTTTACCAAAAACAAAATGGAAAGAAAGAACACATTAAGCAATGAAGAAAGAATTCAGGGCTTGTGGACAGATGAAACCTCTATTTTATATAATCACCAAAAATATTTGACATAAATATTTAATGAAAATTGATAAATAATTTGAAAAATAAACCATATAGAACTTGTTGGACACAGTGTAGCAACTGATAGATTAGGATTAGAATAACTTTTAATAACTTTTTCCCCCTTTTTCCATTGATCACAATCAAAGAGAGTATCCTTGTTTTAAAGGTGAGTGCATAGAGGCCATAAGAAGCCTAAATAATCTGACTGGAGTCATCCTGCAAGCAGCCTTCTTGTTGTTCAGTCACTAAGTCATGTCCGGCTCTTTGTGACCCCGTGGACACGGTTCCCTGTCCTTCACTCTATCCCAGAGTTTGCTCAAACTCATGTCCATTGGATCAATGATGCCATCCAACCATCTCATCCCCTGCCACCCTCTTTTTCTCCTGCCCTCAATCTCTCCCAGCCTCAGAGTCTTTTCCATTGAGTCTGCTCTTCACATCAGATGGCCAAAGTATTGGAGTTTCAGCTTCAGCACCAGTCCTTCCAATGAATATTCAGGACTGATTTCCTTTAGGATTGACTGGTTGGATCTCTTTGCTGTCCAAGGGACTCTCAAGAGTCCTCTCCAGCACTACAGTTTGAAAGCATAAGTGGGCATAAAATTAAAATCGTCAGGCCCTTAGGAATGGACTCTCAGTTTAAGGTAGGTCTTTTGCACAATTTATGGCTAAAGGAAAATTGTTTATGTGGCCAGCACTGCTAATTCATAAGGATAACTTCTGTTAGGGCATGTGACTTGGACCCAAACTTTAATTTGAGAATGAAATTGGACCCTCTCCCCTCTCTAGACAGAGAAAAACAACCCTATTGTCTCAAGGTGCTGATGGTAGAAGGAACCATGAATATGAATGTCTTTGACCTTGCAGACCCAAAAGGGTCTCAGGACTTCCCAGGATATCCAGACTACATTTTGAGAATTGCTGGCCTCAACCAGGTACAGCCATACCTGAAGCTATCCCATTTTTACCAGTTTGGTGAGCCTATAAACACATGTGTACTTTTTCCTTGAATAGCTGGAGTTGGGTTTCTGTTACTTGCAACTGAGAGTTTCAAGTCAACACAATGAAACCCTTCATGGCTTTTCCTAGTTCAGGAAAAGGTTTAGGGAAGCTTAGTGCTGTCTTGTGGGGAGCTTCCCAGGTGGCACAGTGGTAAAAAATCCTCCTGCCAACGCAGGAGACTCAAGATTTGTGAGTTCAATTCCTGGGGTGGAAGGTCCTCTGGAGTAGGCAATGACAAACCCGCTACAGTATTCTTGCCTGGAAAGTTCCATGGACAGGGGAGCTTGGCCGGCTACAGTCCATGGGGTCACAAAGAGCCGGACATGACTGAACACACACACACACACACACACACACACACTGCTGTCTCACAGAGGTAACTTTGAATGTTGTTTTCTCTTTTTCTACTTCTTCCCTCCTTCTTTGTGCCTCTAAAGTAGAATTACTTTTGCTTTCTTATCAAGTTCTTCCTTCCTAATAAATAGATTCCACATACCTCACAACTTTTTATCTCTGTATGAAAGATTCCCAATGTTGTAATTGTTCATCTTGCTGTTACTGTGAATATGGCCCCAGAGCAAAAAAACAGTTCAATCACTGTTGACTCAGTTCAAAAACAGTTGACTCTCCTGTCCTTCTGGAGTACCTATTCCAAATGTGCTTTTAAATGTCACTTGCCTAATCATCATTCCGATTTCTTAGAAATCATGCATCACTCTATTTGTTAACATTACTTCAGGAAAAATATGTTCTTTTCAAAATATTCACTCCTTGATTTTTTCATAGCAACCTGTGTGTCTTTCTCTTTTGTTTTAGCATTTTAAATGTGATTTTTAACTTATTGGGTGTTTTGAATGCCTTTAAATTTAGTATTTCAAAGATTGAAAATTCACTGGGTTGTCTCTGAAAATAAAAAAACTCAGAGTGACATCTAGTGGCTCTTCTGCCTTACTAAATAGTCATCAAAGGAAATGTACACAGTTGTTAAATTGTACCTTTGGAAGGTTATTTAGATTTTCTTAGAAAGAACATTTCAGAACCATCCCAAATAGACAAAAATCAACCTTATTTTAAACTTTGCACAGTCTCTCTAGGCAACTTTTCAGAGACAAAAAAAAAAAAAACAAAAAATTATCTCTTCATGTGCCTCTTTCTGAAGGGTGAGGAAAACTTCCAAGCCAACCTTCCCTCACGCTGAAATGCCAAGAAGCCTCACCTGAAGACAGTCGCTTGAAATGAGGACTGGAAGAGGACTGGAAGCCTGAAGATTAGTTAAAAATCATCAAGATGCACCTGCTAGAACTGCCCCTGAAGCAGTGTCCTAGCTCTATAGAATGTGGATACTCAAAGTGGGGCTCCCTGAGAAAGGAGGGGAGGGGCCATGGATGCTGGATTTGTGGTTTACAGCATCAGCTTCACTCACCATCCTGAGGGCTGTCACAAAACTGTCAGAGCACAATCAGTTCACATCTTTCAGGAATGATGAAAATGCCATGTCTTGATCAAAGCTGTAGTTTCACAGGTATACAGCTGGTCCTTGAACAACATGAAATTTAGGGGCATAGAATCCCCTCCCCCTGACCCTTGCAGTCAAAAATCAAAACAGTTAACTTTATGGTCAGCCCTCTGTTCCCCCAATTTTGTGTCGAGGAGTCAATCAACTGCAGACTGTGTAGTACTGTAGAATTTATTTATTGAAAAAAGAAATTCGAGTGTAAGTAGACTTGTGTATAAGTAGATCAAACCCTTATTGCTCAAGGGTTGAATGTGTATCTATGAAACCACATCAAATGGTACACTTTAAATAAATGCAATTAAATGAACAGAAATTACACCTCAATAAGGTCAGCTTAAAAAAAACTCAAGGGACTTCCCTGGTGGTCCACTGGTGATTAAGATTCCACTGCAGGGGGCATGGGTTTAATCCCTGATTAGAAAACTAAGACCCCACATTCTGCCTGGCACTGTAAAAAAATAATAAATAAGATAAAATAAAATTTTTAAAATAACAAGAATCCCATCAATGAATGAATGGATAAACAAAATGTGAGGTTTTATACTATTATTATTATTTTATGTATGTATATATCTCACAT